CCTCCCTCCCTCCCTGTCCACCTCGGAGCTCGCACCTTATACTGTGTTTGCATGACGCAGTCCCTGCCGACCACCAGGAGGCGGGCGATGATCAACGGATCCTTCTCGGCCCGCGCCTGTTCGAACTCCTTCCGGGCCTCGCGTCTCAGCACCTCCCGCCAGGGCTCTCCCTCGTCGTTGGGCCAGTAGAAGCGTCGGGCGGTGCGAAGAATTTCTGCCGTGGCGGGTGCCAGGGGGGACAGATCGACGTGAGGGAAGGGGCATGCCAGCAAGATACCTAGACACCATCCGGAAAGAAAGAAAGGGGGGAGATAGGCAGCACCGAGACAAGATAGGAGTGCATCGGAACATCCTGAAAGAGAGAAGGGGGGAGTTACCTACCTCGATAGAGACGAAGAGCCTCGCGATTGGGCCCTATTGTGGGTAGACCCGGTGACATGCAGATCCTGGACGAATAAGGCAGAGTACAACCTCCCGAAAGGGGGGATACCGCCGACTCTGTCTCCTCCGTCGAACGTTCAGGTAGGATCCTCTTCCGTCCCACGTGTCTTAATTCGACCGCGGGAATGCCTGTTGCTCCACCGAAGGGAACTGTGTTGGGTAATCCTTAACCGGGTCCCGCGCCTGGAAATTGCGTCCGTGAAAGGGTAATTTAGCCTCAGCTTTTTGAATGCTCTTCGAAATCGCCTGGCAAAGGTCCAGCACTTATTATCGGTGCCTGTATCCATGCACCGACAGAGATGTGCTCGTTGTGATGTAAAAGTACGGGTATATATCGAGGCACCTATCAACTTGGGGCGGCTCGCTGGCGTCTGTCATGAATTCAGTCTGATGCTATGAGGCACTGCGGCACCATTGTAAGCGATACACACACACTCAACACACTTATGCAGCGAGTCTTGAGGGATCCTGTCATCGACAGGAGGACCATATCGTTGACTTTTGTATGGATAAAAGCTCTTTCTTGGCAGCTCCTCCACGCTCCCACCAAGCGTCTCGATCCTCCTGTTAGGCCCATCTTGCCCCACCCACCGATATAAAGGTGCCATGAGGTCAAAAATCCTCCATTCGTCCAGCCATACATTACGTCCATCCCTTGAGTCAATCCTGCACACTATGTGTGGCTGTCAGCCCTTTTCTGTCGCTTGCAATGCAAAAGAATGGATCTCATGGCAGTCTCGGAGAGTCCCGGAGATGGATGATACGGCGAGAGAGTCCTCGTAGGAGGAAGCAGAAAATAATGACAGACGATTGCTTGATTGAGACTCAAGTTGAAAAAATTTACCAAGGAATGACGGTGACTTCAAAATGTGGTATGATTTTAATGTGGAGGAAGGGCAATTGTTACCACGATGGGTTTACAGCATCTGCGGACGCTAACGAGATGCGTATCACCCCTCTTTACCTTGTCACGTGTACAGGCACGCTTGCTATTTTCAGACGAAGTTTCGCCGCGCCCTCCGCAAAACCATTCGCCCACCACCCTAGCGACATCTTTGCGCCGTTGATCGGCGGGGGAAGGAGTGGACGCACTGGGTGGTCAGTGGCCTATGCAGCAACCACGCCGACGGACGTCGTACCCACCGCCGCCCCCTATGTCCTATCCACGACCCCTATACCACCGCTACGAAGCACGGCACCCCCATGCGCCTCGATATTACCGCGCGCCGCCACCGCCACAAGCTTCCCCCGGGTGGGTAACCACCACCAGCCACGCCCCACGGGAACTGGTTGGGCTCCCCTACCCCGACCATCCTCGCGAGGGAGAGTGGGTACTGTCGTTGGAGCAGGTAGGTAGGTGGTATCGGGCGACGTTCATGTCCTTAACGTCCTACTTCTCGACTGTCCTTTCGCATGCCTCCCTGTCCTTCTCTTGCCTCTCCTCTTTCGAGGGAACCTGTCTCATCTTCCTCCCTTCCCTCCCTCCC